GACAGTCACATGGAGAGCTCCCATACGTCCCTCCCCTGGCCTGCGTGTGCCCGCACGTCAGCACCTCACGTGGTACAATTAATCATATCTGCAGAACTAAGAAGTGACACTATACAATTATTGAAACTAAGGAGGTATCATTGGTACACAACTATTAACTAAACCACAGAAGTTATCCAGATTTCACGCATCTGCCCATTACCGCCCTCTGTCTATTGCAGGATCCGCTGCGGGATCCCCGGGCACTGGTTCATCAGCTGAGCTCAGGCTCCTCCGGCCAGTGACAGTTCCTCTGCCTTTCTTTGTCTTTCGTGACGATGACACTTTTGAAGAGTCCTGGTCAGATATTTTACAAAACGTCCCACAACTTCGGTCCGCCTGATTTCCGAACGAGCCGGTGGAGGCTGTGACCTACGGGGAAGGCCACCACCTACGGGGAAGGCCGCCACCCTGCTGGGCACTCAGCACAGTTGCCAGGGCAGTGACATCAAGGTGACCTATCACTGGGGATGTCCACCCTGGTCACTCCGTCACGGGGCTGTGAGATGGAGTCCCCACCACAAAGTCACTGTGTTTCCCTTTGTAATTATTAAATATTTGGGGGAGATATTTGAAACAATGCAAATATCTTGTTTTTGCTTAAACTTTCACCCACCAATTTTAGCATCCATCAGTGCGTCAGTTACTGCTGTGGGTTCTAATGGTGTTCCCCATTCCTTCTATACTTATTTTATTCTTTTTAAAAATTTTTGTTAATTATACAAGTAGTATAAATTAGAGTACCCCAGGAGGAAACGTGTAACTTGACCAAGGGGAGGGGGTCTGACTCACACGGAAGGTGACATTTGGATTATGAAGGGTTGGCAGGAATTCTTTTGTAAGGAAAGTCGTGCCTTCTCTCAGCTATTTGTTTATATCAGTATGGACTCATAGCTATTTATTTTGTTCCAGGAGTTATGATCCAGGGCTATCGCTATTTATTTCGTTGCTCAAACTTTGGCAGTTGGAAGCTCTTTCAGGTTGGCTCCAGAACCTTAGTATCTTCTATCCCCTTTTAAAAGCACTGTCTTGTGTTCTAGCATCACAAGACGCTCCATGCTCAGTCTGCATTTTTTCTGTCCAGGCCCTGGAATCAACCATTTCTCCCCAGACCTGCGGATCCTCTTTTTGTTAGAGAATAGTATTTAGAAACCAAGACCTGGGTACGGACGTGCTTACTGCTAATGGCTGTCACTGCTTCTTGCTCCCCACGGAGTCAGAGCTAAGAAATACATGTCTCTGTACTAACTCGTCCTCAAACACATTTCCATATTTATTTCTGTAATCATCTGTTGGCATATACAGATTGAGTATTCTTTATCCAGAATGCTTGAGACCAGAAGTGTCTTAGATTTTGGATGCTTCTGAATTTTGAAATATTTGCATATACACAGTGAGATATCTTGGGGATGGGACCCAAGTCTAAACATAAAATCCATTTATGTTTTGTATACATATTTTATACAATATTTAAATAATTTTGCTCATGAAACCAAGTTTGTGTACATTGACTTGTGGCATCATTTTGGCCCTCAGAAAGTTTTGGATTTTAGAGCATTTCAGATTTCCAGATTAGAGATTTTCAACCTGTATGTTAAACACAAGCATGAGCGCATTTTGACACCTCCAGCTCCAATCCAGCAACATGGGGTTCATTCTAGCCTCTCTTCTTTCCTTATTTCTAACTCCTTTCTCTGATATGGCTCTCATTATCAACAACATTTTTTACTTATGTGTTCAACCCTGATAAACAAATAATGGTCTCAGAATTGCTAATTCATACCCATGTGAGAAACAAATTTACCAACTCAAATACATTGTTCGTATATAGTTTATTTTGTCATTAGCCTTATGGCCAAACACTGTTTTTCAAGATTATTTAAGCCAGCTCCTTCTTCCGAATCCGCTTGACTGTGGTTATGTGATTAGTCACCAGAGTCTGCATTCCCTCTCCCCCATGTCCTGGTTGATTGGCTGAAGTTCCACACAGTAGAATTCACTCTTTGTGG